ACATCGCCAATTTATACCACTGGAGAACCGGAAGTTATTAACATCATTTGACTTCCGCTTAAGGCTTTCCTGATTGGTCCATAATCTTACATAAATCTTTATTTAAAACCCCTCAGCTTTTAGTTTAGAAGAGATAAAGTTACGGTTATATCCCGTTAGGCGAGTAGATTAGAAATTAATTATTATGCGAAGTTCTGGAGGGTTCAGTACCAACATGGATTAGAAAGATCTCAAGAGAAAATTAACATGAATTTATATATATATATATTTCTATTTGCTGATTAGTTTGAATTAATTATGTACTAGAAATTATATGAGAGATATTGTTGACGGGGATTTGCCAATTTTGAATCATTATCAAGTCACGAGGATGATATTTTTGAAGACTCTAAAATACCTGCCTCTTCCAACTTTTTTCTATACAAAGAAAAAGAACTGCGAACAAGCTTGTAAATTTATTTGCAAATTCAAGTTTCAGATCAAATTGGACTTTAATCCAGTATCGTGGCACCGTCTTTCCTTCTTTACGTTTTGGTGCTGTGTCTATGAATTCCTTCATAAATTCCAATAAAAATCAAAGAAAAAAATACAAAAAGATTTAAAGGAAAAGAAAAAAAAATAATAATAATAAGCGAACAAATTTAAATAAAAATTGTATCTAATGCTCTTGTGCAAATTTTAGTAACAGGGCATATTCAAGATTGTTTTAGTAGAGAGAATTCAAGCTTGAAGAGTTTAAGTATTCAGTATATAAATAACAAATCCTCAAAAAAAAAAGAGAAAAAACACTAAAATAAATAATTTAGGATAAGTAAAATTCTATTTTATTAAGTATGTTTAGAGATTATTTGTGATATGCAAAGAGCAAATAAATAAATTAAATATTTTTTGCTTAAAATCCAATTTAGCATGAAACTTAATAAACTAGACCTATCTCAGTCGCTTATATCATCTTCTAACGAGTATTTCGGTAATACTAAAGGCACAACGAAAATTAACTGAGCTTTAAAAATACTTTAACTTGTTATCATCATCATTATTATTTAGAATTTTACTCTTAATTTAAATAACTTAAAATAATTTTTTTAGATTATTTGCATGATAATTTATTTCGTAACCAATCTACTGGAGTTGGCAAAAATTTCTTAATCGATATTTATTTTTGAAACTATTCATCAGATCGCGAATTTTTTTTCTACGACAATACTTCCATACTCTCCAAAGAGCATTTGCGTATGCTTCTCAGTTTGAGAATCATTTTTTTTTAATATGAGCCATTTCTGAAAAATACTAATCAAGAAATTGTTCTTCAGTTAGAATTAGTGCGATTAATATTCTGCTGACAGTGGATATTTGATCCATGCTTTTCAGTGCAAGGATAAAATCTAATACTCATGGATTTCCAAACTTCTATGTCTCGACGTGCAATTTCTATCATAAAATCTTTCTTTCGAAGAAATACTAGTTGTTTGTTTCAAATTTCATTAACTGAAAATATTTGTATTAAATATAATTAATAGCAGCACATCGAAAGAGTGTTTAATACTGCTTCTCATTTTCGTCCAATTTAGTTTAATTTTTGTTTGTTACAGACTTTACCTTTTATGATATGTCAGAATTAACTGCAATGTAAGTTGTTTTACCATAATAATTTTAACTATTTTTCTTTTCTGTTTGCTTAAAACAAATTTAGGTACTCCTGTGAGTCAAGGTATAGCGAAAGGTTTTGCACGAGTGGCTGTCGCATTAGAAGAAGCGGCACATTTAAAGGTCAGTAAATCTGTACAAACTAAATACATAAATTTAATAAGAAATGTTTTCATATTTTTTTTTTTAATTTCAAAACTTGTTAATGTTTATGAATCATTATAATAACCTCTTGACTGGTTTGCCCGCAAGCTGTACGAGCACTGATAATTTGCTTCTTTCTTATTAGATTTGCGCATTTTTTTGATTATTATATTGATATTTTTAGGGATAGTGTGTTTTTAAGAGATGCTGTTTGTTCACACACACACACACATGGTAATGAAATACAGTGAAGGCGATAATTTTTTATTGAAGGCAGAAATTGACATTCTTGAAAATATTTGATAAAGAATGAGGATTGGCAAGGCCATGTGCTATTTGTTGCTTGAGAAGAAATGAAAACGTAAAGATAATCCAAAAAAGCCAATATTGTATCTGTCCCCATTGCAATGTAAGACTTGGTATTATGCGACGCTTCAAATTGTGTGTGTGTATACACTGAACTATACTGTGCACTATACATTTACAAATATCCATGCCTTCTCCGGGATTCGAACCCAGGCCCTACGGCACCGCAGTCAGCGTCACTAACCACTATACCATGAATTCGGGACTACCCTGTATCTATCTATCTATGTATATATATGTCACAGGAAAATGATAAAATTAGGAATTTCATCAAATTCCTAAGGAAGATGATCAATTGACGGGAGACGTTAAAATAACGTCTCTTCAAGGTCATTTCCCTGATAAAAGTAAGGGATTTGAACAAATCCCTGATCTGTTTCAGTGAAATGATGAAATGATATTGTCAAGAGTTTAAAAGTGTTTATTTAACAAATATGAAGCATTATTAAACGTAGAAGCAAGTAATACAACAATAGTTAATAAAATACAAATTATTTATTCAAACTAATTAACAAATAATAAAAAAATTAGGCTGGTATTATTTGATGTAAAACATCTTTCCTCTCTGTTACTTACACACTAAAATATGAATCCCTATGTTAATCTTATGGTGCCATTTTTTTAAAGATATGGGGTTGATATTTATGGGGATCGATAGTACTACCTATATGGTTAGGCATTACAAGGACTCGACCCCCTGGACAGCATTTTGCCAATGCAAATCCGGGCTAGTTCATCATTTCACTGAAACAGTTCAGGGATTTGATAAAATCACTTCTTTCATTAGGAAAATGACTTTGAAGAGACGTTATTTCAACATCTCCCGTCAATTGATCATATCCCTGAAGGATTTGATGAAATTCCTAATTTCGTCATTTCCCTGCGACATATATATGTTGTATATTTTTTTTAAAGTTACATTTGATAACCATTTTTAGAATTCTATCAGATTTAAAAATTTTAAAGCTTCACATTGACTTATCTTTATACATAAAAATCTTCTGTGCGTGTTTATACGGCTGGACCGATTTTGATGAATTTTTATGTGTGAGTTCAAGTGGATTCGAGAATGGTTTAGATTCACAATTCAGTCCAATATCGCAATTAGTTAAAAAGATATTAATTAAAAACTTTAAAACGCATAATTGTTTTACCCTTGTGTGCTGTTTATTCTGCTAATGCGCGACAAGAAAAAAAAGAAGGGAGAATTTTTCGATATTTTCACCGTTTTTAAAATTGCAATTAAATTTTTCTATCAAAATCAGACAAAAATAATCACAGTATCGGAAAGATTATTCATTTCGCCACGATACAGCATATATCTTTATATATATAATTCTTCTGTGCGTGCTCTTTATATATATATATATAATTCTTCTGAGCGTGTGTATGTAACTGAACTCCTCCTAAACGGTTGGACCGATTTTGGATGATATTTTTTGTGTGGGTTCAAGTGGATTTGAGAATGATTAAGATTCACAATTCGGTCCAATATCGCAATTAGTTAAAAATGCACCAAAATTTTGTAAGTGTGCGCGATTGTCATAAAAAATCGTGGACAATATTCTTGAGGCTACGTTTTTGAACGGCAAACTTAAAGGTGAAGTTGTACTTCTACCACAGATCCAAATGATTCTTTCAGACTCACCTACCCATTCAAATGTTTGCAATTTCCATTTCACTTGGTATTTGCTATGACCATTAATAAGTCACAAGGTCAAACAATGACAATTTGTGGCTTAGATTTAGAAAACCCTTGCTTTTCACACGGCCAATTATATGTTGCATGTCCAAGGTTTGGCAAACCATCGCATTTGTTTGTTTATTCACCTCAAGGATTAACCAAAATCATTGAACATCCAATAGCATTGCGATAAATTTATTTTTTGTGCATTAAAATATACCCGCTATGAAAATAGCTCGAGTTTTATCTTTTTTACCCTTCAATCAAAACAAGTTCAAGTTTCTATTCAGAATAGATTCTATATTCAACTTAGTTCATAGTAAATACATACTCACACGCAATTGATAGGTCGAATTGTGGTAACTGTACATGTGATGATGTCAGGTATTGTAATATAACTTTCTTTATAAAAAATTTCATCAAAACGGTCCAGATTGTTACAATTTATTCAAAAAAGTTTGTAATTTTCGGATTTAAGACTAGTGCACAGGACAACGTCTATTTGGACGGCTAGTTGAATGTAAAACTCTTTTTTTTCATTATTTAGCCTGGAGAAATCCTAATTACTTACAGTACAGATATTGCTTGGAGTCCTTATTTCCCCATTATATCTGGAGTTGTTACCGAGCTTGGAGGTCTCATTTCACATGGTAAGAAATTGCTAAAAAATCGTTTGACTTTTTTATTTGCAAAGAAATTTTGAAACTTTCAACTGAAAAATCACTGGAAGAATATTGATGATGCAAATACGTTTTGTGTTAAAATTTGAGTCGTTCAAGATAAATTTAAAATTAGGATAATAAAACTAGTCGGATGTTAGTACTTGAATTTCAGAAGTTATGATAAAGATTTAAGTAAAAACAAGTGATATAAAACAATTTTTTTAAGTCAATTCCTATTTAGGTCAACAAAGAAATTTTATGTTAGTTACTTTTTATTAAATAGTTACAATTCATATAAATATGTATATACATATGACAAAATCATCACAATATTAAGTGACAAAATAGAAAACGATTTTACTTTCAATTTTCCCTTTTTCTTTTTATATAGGGTGTTGGACTATTTTTTGTTTGTTTGTTACTATTTATTGATTAAATTTAATTATTTTAAAAAGTAGTACAGTTAAAAAGAGAAATCACATTCTCAGAAATTAGGCCATCCCAGGTGGGATTCTCAAATCCACTACCTTTGGATTAGACGTCCAACACGCTATCCATTGCGTTACAGGAACACAACGAATAATTTTCCTTTCTGAACATGCTGTTGGAATTTTTTTTTTGTTACTATTCATTCATTTTTTAATTTAATTAATGTATTAATATTTGAAAAAGAAACTGTATTTGAACTTGTGAATGGGTGAATAGAAAGCATTTTATTAACGATTGAACATTTGAACAAGATATGTAGGGAAAGAGTGAACTAATAGAAGAAATTGAAAGAGAAACCTTTGTTATATTGATAACTTAAATGCTTTTTCCCATTTACATAAAATACTTTCAGTTCATTTACAATTTGTCTGTTGGAAAAGTTGCTTTATATGCATATATTCTTAAAAAGGCTAGCCGAAGTAGTGGGGGGAAATATAAAATTATCATTATCATTTCAAAAATAATATTTATGAGATTAAAAATTTTTGAATTATTTCTAACATCTTTAAAAAGAAAGGGGTTTTGTTTTTAATGGTCTATTGCTTAAAATAATATAAACGATTCTTTTCTATTTTGAATTCTTCATTCTGTAAGCTGTGGCCGCTGTAGCCTAGTGGTCAAGGCCGGCTTGTCACGAGTTCGAGCCCAGTACCATTAAAGATCCGCCATGTAGGGGAGTGACGCATGTTAAATCTGTAGATCTCAAACGTCTTCCCGTTAGTGTGGTGTTGTAGTTAGGAGAGGAGGGTATCAGCTCATGTGTCGTCGTCACTTGAACATGGTTCAAAATTACGAGGTCCGTCGCCAAAAGCCCTCGTGTAAATGAACATTGCGACCTTAAAATTCACTCACTCATTCTGTAAGCTAATAAAATTTCAGTTCTCTTTGTCTTTTATGCTATTCCTAATTTACAAATAACTGTTTTAAATGAGTTACTTATGGAAACAACTTTGGAAAATACTCTTCGTATTTTGAACATTTTCTACTAACATTATGACTAAATGTAGACAATATTAATTTCTAGATGAAAAGATAATCTTTAAACATGCATCAACGGAGCTTTAAGTAAAATGGATTTAAATTAAAATTATTTTGAATTTATTCCTTAGGTTATTTGAATAATTTTAAACCATCTCACATAAAGATAAATCTGTTTCACACATTTTATGTCGGACATAAAAATTCTTATTTCAATTACAGGAGCTGTCGTCAGTCGTGAGTACGGTATACCTTGCATAGTGGGATTACATGGAGCTACAAGGAAATTCAACACTGGTAATATTTCTTCTCAGAATTGTTTCATTAGGAAAATATTCTGTTTCATCGTGATTCATCTTCCATTAATTAAACTTTTTATGTTTTATTCTTTTAAAAAAATTTCAGGTGATTATGTGCTACTCGATGGAAAAAAAGGAATTTTACAAAGACTGCCACAACCTGAAAGTGAAAAGACTCATGAAAATGAAACTTCCTAATAGAACTTTTATATTTAATATATAACTCACCATTGTGGCAAAGGACTTTTTGATTTATAATGTAAGGAAATTTTTTTGCGAAAAAAATTAATATAATAATAATGATTTTCACATCTTGGAAGATTTCTTTTTGTTTGTTTTTCCAAGCATTTGAGAATAATTTTATGTCCCCCCCCCTTCTTCCGCTGAAAAATAAAACGAAACAAACTGCTTTTTCTTTCAATTTTGTTATTCTTTGTTTAAATTTCAACAGAATTTTTCTAAGTATCATGAGTAGTCTTAGCAAAGTATACAATTAGAAGAATTTAGATTTTTCTAAACACAATGTGTAATACACATATAAAGTTCTAGCAAATCAAATATTTAGAGGTAGCGTGCTCGCCTCGTAAGTACAAGAAAACTGGTTCAATCCCGACTGGAGTCAGTAGATTTTCTGGATGCGAAAATCGTAGGCACACATGTCATATGATTATGTGGCATGTAAAAGATCCCTTGAGAATCAATTTCACTCTGGTACTCTCGATAAAATTAAATCACTGTTATATTTAACATCCGACGAGAGCTTAAAACTAATCCCAAGGGTTAATTTTTGATACCGAGAGTCGCCACTAGATGGTGCAACCAATGAAATGGTTCGCGCACTTGGGGACTTGCCGCTTTTTCGAAGGCTTGTGTGGAAAATTGTGCGGATTTTGAAAAAAAATCTATTTAAAAAAAAAGATTATGTTTATTTAAAGGGGAAGGAAGGGGAGGATTGAATTGCATTTTTTAAATTTAATTTAAATATATACAACTTTTCGGAACAATTATTATGAATGAATGTTCAATTATTAAACTATTTGGATTATGCTATGCTAATATTCCCATCAGTTTTTTTACCAGAGGTCTTAGCTTAAATTGATTCAATGATTCAGAGCCTTCGAAAATGCTAATATTATATATAAAACAGAATTAAAATTCAAAGTAGTTTATTCTTTATTTTTTTTTTACCCAATTCATTTATAATCTCTCTGTTTTTAGATACTTAACGAAATTAGATTTATAAAACAAACAAGTGGTAGAATAAACGAGTATGATGGAAACTTATGCAGCAATTAACGACTAGAAAAATTATAAATTTACCTTATATTTAATTTAAGCATGCGGCGATGGTATCTGTATAAGCCAGTAACTGCCTCCGTACTACGATGATCATCTTAGTATAGTGGTTAAGTTAGTCGGTTACGGAACCAAAGGTCCCAGGTTCTAACCTTCATTGGGGACCCTGGCTGAACTTCGTAACAACACAAATCTTCGCGAAGCAGACGTGGCGCCATCTATCCGCCGCAAGAACAATCAAAAGCCGGCAAACCCGCATGACGCAGCACAACAAAGCCGTCAGATCCATACAAGTCAACACTGAAACCGTCGAACACAAATGACGCAACAACAACTCAAACGCTCGCCAAAACTATGGTATCGTTCGTTCATCTATTTGCCGACACTGGCAAGGGAGTGTGGGGAGGTGGTATCTATATAAGCCAGTAACAGCCTCCTTACTACGATGATCGTCTTGGTATAGTGGTTTGGTTACGGATCCGAAGGTACCAGGTGCAATGGTCAGTTGTGAAATTTCTCAGGAATTGCGATTAATCACCCTGTTCACAATATTAACCTCTCGCTTCGAACTTATTTTAAGAAGGTCATTGTATATAAAAATGGAAAACACAGCTAACTAAAACTGAATCAGCACACACATATTTGATTAAAAATTCGAGCTTCTAAAAATATTTACTGCATCAGACCCTCAGTGAGAATATTCGAAAATGTCGTCTCTTAGGAAAGCTTATTTTTATTGTAAAAGGAAATCCATTTCATAAAAGATTTTTTTAAAAGAAACATTATAAAATCTGAAAAGAATGGGAAAATATGAAAAGCTAGAAGGAAATCAGAAACTGGAGCATCAGGAGGTTTCTTCATCAATGTTCAACAAAGCCACTGCTTTTTGATGCCGGATTAAAAAAAAAAATAATTTGGAAATTTTGATTTCAGATTTACTGTCACTCAAAAAAGTATTGGAACATTTGGCATGCATAACTGTAAAACCATTTATGAAAATATTTATCATATTAAAATAAAAAGAAACGAATTAAGAAATATTTTAACATTTGGTGTACAATATTTAAGGAAAATTTTATAGTATTATAGAATCATAATTTGATCTAACTTTTCAAATATAATTCAAAGGAACACTGGAGTCAAAGTATTGGGATACTTTTGATATGAGAAATTTAACAACTATGCAGAGCACCAATAGAATTTAATTTCACACCACTTTTTTAGGCTAGAAGTTTAAACATAAACGTTCCAATAGATAAGATTATTCATAGAAAAAATGACAAGAAACAAAGATATATCGGTTGGTGTGCAAAATCTAGTATTAAGTCATTGGAAAGAGCGAAAATAAGTTCGCTGTATAGGAAAAATCTTGAACTTGAGTAAGTCTGCTGTTTTTAACATCATTGACAGGTTCAAGAAAACAAATAGTGTTGAAAATAAGCAAAAATCAGGGCGTCCAAGGATATTTAATGAACGTGAAGAGAAGTGGATTGTAAGAGAAGTACACATTAATCCAAGAACTAGTGCAGTAAAAATCACTTTGCAATGTAAAAATAGGTTCAGAAAATCAGTAAATCCTGAAACTGTCAAAAATGTTTTCAGAAAACATAAGTATCATGGCAGAGTACCTCAAAGAAAGCCCTTCATCAGCAAAAAAAGTAAATAGACAAGCTAGGTTGGTATTTGCTAAAATGTATGTAAGGCAGTCAACAGTATATTGGGACAATGTAATTTTTGTTGATGAAAGCAAATATAACATTTTCGGATCGAATGGCAAGCAAACAGTTTGGCGAAAATCAAATACTGCAATGCATGTCAAAAATTTACGCCCTGCTGTCAAATATGGAGGTTATAACCAAATTGCCTGGGGCTACATGGCAAGCTCTGGTGTCAGAAACTTTTATTTTATTGATGGTATAATGAATAAATATGTATATATCTTGACATTTTCAAGGAGAATTTAATGCAAAGTGTGAGCAAGCTGGGAATATCAGGACATTTTAAATTGTTCGAAGATAATGACCCGAAACATACTGCAGATAATTGTAAGTTATGGGTCCTCTAGTGTTATTAAGACTCCTGCACAGAGATTAAATCCAGACCTTAACCCCATTGAACATGTGTGGGATTATTTGCACCAAATGAACACCAAATGACTAACAATTTGGATTTAACAAAATATTTGGTCGAAGAATGGACCAAAATTGATAGATCGTTTTGCAAAAAATTGATCCAATCCATGCTAAATAGACTTCGAGATATCATAAAATGCAAAGGAGGCTCAAAAAGGTATTAATTTTTAAGTTTTAATTGTTTTTCCTTAATTTATTAGGAAGTGTCCCAATACTTTTTGAGCACGTTTTTTTAACTCGATTTCTTTTATTCTCAATTTTAACCATAATTGTATTAATGTATGAGTTTTGTTCAAATTATTGTTATTTTTATTTACCAAAATAACATTCACTTCTGTTTTTGGTTTCATTTGTATGTTTCAGTAAAACATTACAACG